GTCTAGGAGCCTTTGCGATCAGAGATTTAAAATTTCATAAGATTTTCCTCATTTCTGTGGTATTCACTTTTTGATGCATGTTTAAAAATTGTTTAGGACCGAAAAATCCTGTAGTGAAATTCTGTTTTGAACAATTAATGATAAACACATGTTAATGCTGCTTCAAAACATTTTTATTTTTTTGTCTCTTTTGTGTTGTTACAGACATTTAACAGAAACATAGGGGACTTTAGTGCTGTACAGAGCTAACAGTTCCTGAGTGAGAGAAGAACTGGGTCAAACTGTGCACAAAAGACAGAAAAGGAGTGGGAGGATTCAAAAGCACCACATAAGTCACCCTGACAACAGAAGCATAACGCAAAATGTCCATAGATTTCAATGTGCAAATTTATCTTCTTCTAAAAGCCATTTGAACAATACAAGTTGTTCACTGTACATTCTCTGCCATATATATTTGGTGTAAAATATTCCTTTACAACAACTATTTCAACAGGATATGAATTTTGACATTTAGAAATTGTATATATTTAAGGTTGGTCACATGCAAGGAAAAATAATAATAAACAAACGTAAGAAACCGGCGAAGAACAATACCCTTCGCCCCTAACTTTGTTAGTGGCGAGGGCCAATTAAAGCCGCGCGCGGCGATGGTGGCCCTCGGCCCGGCGCGCACCGCCCCCCCACGCGACCTCCGGGACTCGCGACCGCCCCGGCACGCCACTCTCTCTTCCCGACAGCCGCCCAGACTGACAGTTTGTCCATCAGAAAAATTACATAGTGTACCTTTGTTTCTTGGTTCCTTGCTGTCAGATTTTGTCCTGAGAATTTTATACTCTGAATTCTGACAGTTGAATTTGAGAACTTGAAAATATATGTGCAGAATATTTTTTAAGGTAAAAAATTTCATTTAGAACTTGAAACACTGAAAGAGTATATACTTAAAATTTCAGCTAGTAAAATTTTCAATAAAAATAATTCAACCATCTAATTAAGTTTTGTTTAGAGTGAAAAAAATTTCAAGTTAGAAAAAAAAAAAGTTAGAAAAAAAAAAAATTCTAAATGTAATGGAAGAAATTATCTTGTTTTATTGTAAATTATTTTTTTTTATTATTATTAAAAAAAATGTATTGTAAATGGCAATTAAAAATGATGGGCCATTAAGATGTTAAATTAAAAAAATACATGAAATTACTGTGAACTTAGTCTAAGAAATACAAACAAGTGGTATTATTTTTAAGGACAGATTTTTTATTAAAGTTTGGCACATCAGATACAAATGTAAAAGCAGAAAATTTACATACAATTCCAGTATACATTCTCTACAATTTGAATAAAATGTACATTATAAATGGAGCAGAATGCCTTTATTGTCACGATATACAAGTCCTATAAACAGATTTATATACAGAGTGATTTTACACATGAATTATACAAGTTATTGCACAGATTGTTTTTGTCAGTATATACATTACATTAAGAGTTTTTACAGGTTTGAGTGTCACAGAAATTCACAGTATTAACAAGCAATAATTGTACTTACAACTACATATTAAAAGAGGAGAATACATGACATTTTCACATTACAAGGAAAACATTACACTAGAACCATGATGCATGAGCAAAAAACAATTAGCTGCTACGATATCCAAACCAAAGCCAAACCAATCAAACACCAGGATAAATAGATTCAAAAACACAAGCCAATCCAAGCAAAAAACCAACCAACTACACAAACACCGAGATTATCAAGCCTTTATCAATCGCTAATCAGAAAAAAGAAAGCGCACATCAAGGACAATGTTGTAAGGCAACACAACTGCTGAAAATTGAACAGACTAATTGTCTGTTATGTTTTTGTATCGGAAACAACATGCTACCCCTTCGTGGTCACTGAAATAAGTTGGTACAACACATGTGTCAACTTCAAATTTTGAGGACTTTAAGTACATGTGATCAATTAAAGTGCCCTGTTCTGTAGTGGGAGAGGCAACACATTGAACAAATCCTTTTTTTTGCATGAAATTTAAAATATTTGTTGATTTCAATATGTTGTCATTAAAGTCTCCCACAATAGTGATGTTACTATAGTTCGAATCAAGCCAATTTATCAGTTTGTTTAAATGATGTTTAAAAAGTGTCATTGGGTATGAAGGTGTTCTGTAGATGACAGAAATGAGAATGTCATGTTCTGTAAAATGTTTAGCCAAACATTCCAAATTAGAAGATTGCAATAAAACAGTGTTGTAAGAATGACCGTCTTGACAGTACATTCCAACTCCACCATGTTGTTGTGTCTGCAGTTTTACAAGTGCAGGGTTATGGCTACTTTGATAAGCTAAACTGCGTGGTTGACTGTGGAAACTGTATCCTGAAATGTTATGGGTTTGTTCGAGTGACTGTAGATTTAGCCATGTTTCTGTAACAGCAACACAATGGGGATGGAAGGGCTGCATACATAACTGCAAATCAGACACATGTTGTGGGAGTCCTTGCACATTCATGAAAAACAAATTGAATACTTGAGTTTCTTGCATGTGCAATGACTGGTCAGTGACCACGAAAGGAAGCATTTTGTCTAATGCTGGCCTAATCTTGCCGTTACAGTAAATTTTCTTTAGTTCAAAGTTTTGAATTATGAGGCCTTCCAAACTCCTGACACGACTCAAGGCAACATAGGCTTGACCCGCTGTAAAAGTGTGGTTCAGACCCACCACAGCTTCATCAACGGTAAGACCTTGTACCTTGTGCACTGTGCAGGCCCACGCTAATTTAAGGGGAAACTGCCGCCGCTTCTCCCCCTTTTTATTAGCTTGATCTTCTACTGGTTCTATCCGTGTAGAACCAGTCAGGCCTGGTGGAGTGAGAGTCCGGCTTCTCTTCTGTGCGCCAATTAAGTCCTCGTCAAACTTGACATAAATTGCCAGGGGAAGACTTCTGTTGGGTGGATTGTCTATGTGGGTTACTGTGCCACATACACCATTCACCAGACCATCAGGTATATCCACGTTTTTAATCAGCATTACACGTGCATTGACACCAACAGGCAATTCATCAAGTAGCGAGGTGTTTCTTGTTTTAACAACTCCCTCCGTGAATTCAATCAGTTTACCAGTTTTTTTACTGTAGCTGTAATCTTGTGCTGTGATAGTTATGTAATCCGGGCAGGTGATTCGGACCTGTTCGAGATTGTGTCTTTCCACCTGTGTGTTGGTGGGAAAGATATGCAAAGCAGTGGAGTTTTGTCCTGTTTCACGGCTTTTTAAAAGATCTTCATCTTCTGGGAGCATGGGTGTGTTTCTTGACCGGGTCCTTAAGCGGTTCAACAGATCTGCAAATGTGGTGTCTTGTTGCCGTACAACCGTTGTCAACT